TATACCCGCCGCTCTGCACGCCTATTGCACGCGATCTCTCGTCTAACCTCAGGTTCCAGGTTTCCGATTACCAAAAAACCAGCCCCGGATAGATAATGAGCGTACAAGCTGTCTACTTAGTAACTCGAGCACTCGAATGGGTGCAGCACGGCTCACGACAAAAAAAAAAAAAATTGGGATGGGTGCGGTGCACCTCTTTCGCCATCTGGCACGCATTGTCCGCGATCAACTAGATGATCCGTCGGTGGGACTGCATTTTCTGCAAAGCCTCGTTATCCTATTTCGATTTGCGGTCTCGTTTGCTACATGTCTCTTTGGTCTGCTTTGGCTACGCACTCTTCTCCACGTCTCCTCCAGTCACGATAATATTTCCGAACGCGATGCGGTTTATTCCCGTTGCTTGTTCCCCGCCCCCTCCTTCTCTCTTTGCAGGTTTAGAAAGAGCAAATTCCAATCGTTTAGCGAACGAACGCCAAGTGCCGGGGCAAATATTGGCACGGACCGCATCGACAAAGGGAGAGCACACTTCCTTCGTTCCCGTGCAGAGCCGTTCTTCTTCTTCTTCTTCTTCTTCTTCTTCTTCTTCTTCTTCTACTTCTTCGGTCGTCGAGTTAAAATCACTGAAAACCCCTGGCCAACTACTCAAGCGACGCCAATGCGCGAGCCGCCCTTATGCCCTACGGGTTTCTGCTGGGCGGGCAAACGGTGGCAAAAGGGGCGGACAAAGTGCGCTTTGCTGTGCCGCACAACTTTTGTGGTCCCGCCGCGGCCGCGTACGAATCGTGGAACGGTGTCCTTTCGTGCTCGCGGTTTAAAAGTAAGAAACTCTGCACCCTCTTTCGAGGAAAACAGGCTGCTGCACACTTTGCCTCATACCCTTTTAACCTGACGATTCCAGGCTGCAGTTACAATTTTTCATTTCGAACCGAAGCCAACAATTTTTCATTCGCTGGATTGTGACAGGACGTCGAAAAGGTAGAATTACCCATCATGACGAAGCTCCGTATCTTGTCATCGGTCCGCTTCTTTAATTACCGGTCCCCATTTTTCGTGTCTCGACCGTTGGGCAGCCGAACGCTTCGAAACACGCATCGATGGCGTGTCGGAAGAGTTGCAAAAATTTTTACCTGCAACCACGTCGGGGGACGTCGTGAACGTAGGAAAAAAAAAGGTGGATGAGTCGAAAGGGACAACGCGATGAATTAATGCTCGTTCCTGAAACGCACCTTTTCGTTGCGTACGTAACGCTTCCTGCCCCCTCTCCTCTGTCCACAGTAATTTAATTTCCTTCAAAAACCATCCCTCGCTGTTTAAACGAGAGACACCTCTCGGCCGGAGAACCCTTTCTATCTTCTCTTTTTCTTTGCTCGCCCGCGGCAACGTTCCCGTTGTTCGTCCAGGTGCGCTCGTAAAGCGGAGAGGACCGCTTCGTGTCGGGGGAGAACACTGACGCTGCGAAAAACCGACGTCGACCGGGGGTAATTCCCATTTCAGCCGGTGGTCCGCATTTTCCTTGACCCCGGAGTGCACAGCGCAACCCATGCCTCTGCGTCCCGTGCACCGAACGGAATGAAAAATCAAGAACACCGACGCCGCTCGTTTGCTTCGGGTCTCTTTACTTTGGCCGACAAGTGGTCCGAAAGTTCACGAATTTTTTGACTGCCACGGCATCGTTCTCGTTGTTTATTCCTTTTCATTAAATCGTAAATTTTCTACTTGACGCGCCACCATACCACGTTCCCTTCGGGCAACGATATTTCCTCGTTAACGTGGTAGTTGCTTCGAAAGAGGAAGGAAATGTTTGAACTGGATCTGATACGTAGTCGCGCAGAAAACGATGAGGCTCGGCTTTAGATTCCGCTCGGTGGAACGTTCCTACGATTAAGCCGCGACACGAGCGCGAGAGGAAATCAGCGAGTCGAGGTGAGCGAAGAGCGGACCCGTCTAAGCGTCCGGTGACTGCTATCGAGCACGCGTGAAATTAAAATCAGGTCAGTGCCGCCAGAACGATCGCTCTTGGTATTTTCAGCCCGACTTGAACCTTGCGTTGCACCGAGTCGGGGAACGAACAGTGTACCGTGTCACCGAACGGCCCGATAGAATTAATAGATCCCTCGCCCAGCGTATCGTGAGTTTTTTCGGTGGAAATCCATGGAGCTCGGGCGTGATCCACGCCATCTGCGTCACAAACGATCAACCATGCTCCGTTGTTCGATATTGAAATAAAAAAGGGAAACAACGTCAACCGTTTTCTATTTTCAATTCCTCTTACCTTCCCCCTCTTTCCCAATTCTTTCACCCACCGCTGGATCTGTTGATTTCACGCGAAACACACGTCTCCACGTGCGTTTTCCCGAAAAACAGTAACGAGCAGTTAACGTCATTTACCAAAATTGGTTCGCGTTCACATCCCTTTTTCGACGAGTCGTTCGTTCTTTTTTACAAACCGACCCCTTTGAACGCGATCAAAGTTCGCCGACGAATAAAAATTCCCCCTCCTTCGTTCAGGCTACATATTTTTCAAAAAAGAGAGTTTCCACGGGACTTTATTTTAGAGCGTCGCTACGAGTCTTTTAACATCGACGTTGTCTAGATCCACTTCAAGCCCAAGAGTTGCAAATGCTTCGTAATTAGTACTCGTGTTTTTTACGGTAAATTTATACGAGTCGACACGAAATATCAGTAACGCGTCCATATTTATGATTAAAATTTCTCAACGATGCAGCATCCCTGGTTGAACCCACGGATAGCGTCGAGTCGAAGTCCTCGTTCGTTGTCGGAGAAGAAAAAGGGTAGTACGTATATACACACCCGGGCATGAATGTTTGAAGCCGTGGAAGAGAGAGAAAGAGATGGTGGGAGGCGTGTTGCGAGGATGAAAAGTCATCGTAAAAGGGCGGAACGCGGTCGTAAAGTTGAACTCGCGCCGTGTGTTCAGCGACTCGAGGCGGCCCCTTGGCTGCGAGTCGTTCGTTTGACCTACATTGTTCGGTTTGAAGTCGATGCAGGGACAGCAGGCGCTAGCAGTGACCACGGAGCAACACGTTCATCGTTAAAACCCGTACCTGAAGCCGTTCGTACCGTTGTAAATTTTGGCTCCGATCGTGCCTGCCAGCCCGTCCGTCCGCTTTCGGTTTTGCATGTTCGATCGGGGTCCGATAACAGCTCGATAGATTCGAAACGAAGCAACGGAACTCGTGTGAGCTGAGGTCGATAGACGCTGATGCAATCCTGTCTTCCTTTATCTCTCTTTTTCTCCGTGTTACAGCTGCCATTGATGTTACGACTTCGCATAACGTACTTAAATTTTCATCGAAATGTCCGATGATAAGAGAATTTGCATTTGTAATAATTTCAAGGAAATATTCGAAAAGAATTTCCTCTCTCGTACAGATTTATCTCGTCCTAGCGTGATCGTTGGCCGAGCAGAATCAGAGAGAACGGTGTGACTCAACCAGACAGCAGACGCCTGAGAGATGGAAACCCACCTAACGAAGCGGTACGAAGAATCCGCTGCACTTGGGCGCAGTCTGATTTTTTACTTCAGACCTTCGTCGCTCCGCCACGTTACTCAAATATACTTATGAGCCTGGCGGTTAGTTCATCTGAAATTCAAAGAAGCTTCGTTCAAACCGCCCGGAATCGCGTAACGACGAAGAATGTGAACGTTGGAAGACTGAGATTCCCTTCAACCACGGATTTACTCACGTCGAAGACCACTGTGGCGTTCCCCTGAACAAGTGTTTTCGCAGAGATACCAGACCGCGAGCTAAACCGGGAATAATTGCGTGGTCCGCGGCGCAAAGTTCTGGCATAGTCGCGCGCTGGTTCAACCGGAATAATAAGGACGAACCGGAAGGGATTTCGGAGTAACACCGAACTCACTTTTTATCCGCTCCGTTCGCGATCGATGAATAAGTTAGACAGGATGGGTGGGGATGAAAAAAAAACGAATTCACGTCGGCAAAAATCCAAGCAAATAAAAGGTGAAAAATGTCCCCGAGCCCGCTGGTAATGCCGCATAATGGAAAAACAGTGTCGAGGGTGCATTGTTGCAGCGTGTCGCGTCCATTCATCGGACAAGCGATTCAGGGGTTGGGGAGGGGACTGTTGTCCATTATCTTTTTCCCCGACGTTCCACCTCCACCCACTGTCCCGTGGTCCTGCTCGTTAGTTTCAGGCCGACGCGTTTGGAAAAACGTCACGCGAACTTGCCACTTTCGGCGATGTCCCGCGTGAAAGTAATTCCCTGGTACGGGATAGAGGGATGGGGATCGGGACGAGGAAGAGGATTTTGATACGCGAAGGCTGGGGGGGGGATTAAGAACGTGCGAACGCAGCGCGGGGGGCTGCAATCCCAACGGAGGCGTCGCGACCGAGAATTCTACGGAACGGCGAGTAAGCGGATTTTCAGCGAATACGAGTCTTTTTCTTTTTGTATACGCCTCTTTTCAGACAGCCGACCGGAGACCTTGGACGATTTAACGCTGTATTTGTCGCAGTCCCAACCGCGAAAACGAGCCCGCATCGGTGTAAAAAGAAGAAAAAAGGAAAAGAAAAAGAAAAGCAAAATAGGCGCGCGCGAGCTGGTTTTGTTGTCGAGACTCGTCGAGGAGAACGAGCGAGCGCGCGAAGTCACGAGAGCCCCGAACCAGGGAGCTCGCGCGGCAACTGGAGCGCGAGAATTCCGTTTTACACGCTCGAAAACACGGCTCGATTTTGCGAGGAGCTGGGCCCGATGTGTGTGTGAGTGTGTGTGTTTTATTTATGCGCGATACCCAGTCAGAATTAACATTGGCCGCGACCGAATTATCGACGGAAAATCGATTTCCGAACACGTCAGGGGCATACCTCTCCTTGAGCAGCCTGTTCACTGACCTAAACCCTGACGATCTGTCTCTCTTTCTCTCTAGTGTGGCATTCTTCTAGTATAAATCCTCCTGTTCGAAAAAATTTCTGTCTCTCTGTTTGCATTTCCGATAGGGTGAAAATGTACTCACATCTTGGGCCGAGAGAATCCTCGTGGCGGACTGTATGGTCGTGCTTCCCGAGTGGGGCCGATGATGCAAGGATTCGGCGGTATTGTCTCGAGAGCAGACACTTCTGTACCAGGGCAATCCACTCGAGCTGTCTCGTCTGTTCCGATATTTCCTCCACACGTGCCTACAAGACAGAACAAAACGTTCTATTTGCGTCTGGTAGCTACGGGACCGGGGATATACACCGATCCTCGAAACTTTAACGACGAAAGCATTCATCGTGATTACAGTAACGATCCATGGCGGCATAGTAGCGCGGTCAAAGAGGAACACCGCTATTTATAAGAACTTTCTAACAATTGCGCGTTGCTCCTTTTTACCGTGCGAGAAAATAAAGTAGAGAATAAAACGGCGGTGGAAGTTGCCAGGCCACAAAAGGTAATTCTTTACAGCGGCCCTCTGAGCTCGCCGAAACGCCGGGAAATTGAAATAGTTAAAAATGAATCGCCCCTTCGCGACACGAGCTCGGCTTTCAACGAATCGCCGACACACGACTCCGTTTAAATTAGTAGTAGTTTCTAGCGTGCGCGGTTACAGTCGACGCGTCTCGCGAACCAGCGTTCCACGGCGTCTCAGTGCAAGGACGCCAATTTATTTCACCGGGAAATCGCGGAAACCCGTCCCGTCCATTCCGAGCTCGTCTTTCGTCGATCCCGGCGAATAATTTCAGATACTTTCGCGCGTGGTTCAACAACTATCGAATAAATTGCCGCTGCACCACCCCTTACGAACAGACGTAATCCTCTACCGACCACCGCAATTTCAGCAATAACGCGGGATTACTTGGGCTCTTCCATTGGTTACGACGAAAATTTGCGAGTCCCCTGCCAGTGGCACGAATCCACGAGCCACTACAGGTTTTTACGGTAAGGCCGGAATTAACGAGCCGGGCACTCAGGCCGGAGTTAATTTCTCTGGATCAAGGGATCGGGGAAAAATCTGAATTTTATATTCTCACCGGCAATTTCAGGGTGAAAGCCTTTTGTGTCCTGCAAGTTCAGACACATTTTTCCACGTTTCTACGATAGAAAGGATCTTCCGGGGGTTAGCCCCTAGTCTTTGTTGCAAAAAAGAGCGGATTATACGAATTACACGAATTTAGGCCGATTGAGACGATCTGAGAAATTGGTGATTATGATCTGAGACAACAATCGATCAACCCGCGAGTTTCCAGCAAACGTGGGCGTTATTGTCGCGAGTTCGACGGTGATCGAGTCGCGCAAGGGGCTGTCTTAGTCTTTAATTGCTCCATTAATCAACGTCCCCGGCTTTCCCTTTCGCGAAGCAACAGCGTGCGTGTCGTCCATGTTCGCAGTTATAACGCGACTGTTCTGGTACCGTTAACTTATTCGCTGACTTAACGGTCTTTCGAGCTGTTCTTTGCGCGGTTAGAGACGAATCTTGTTTCTGATGTTTAACGGCGAATTCGCGTGCCCGCGATGGCGCGACGAAACAGAGAGAAATGTGTCGTAAACTATCGGGATGGGAAGTAACTTATAGATTTAAGAAGCACGCCTACGTATCTATGTAGAAAGAGCAACATTAATAAAAATGATTTCAATGGTTCTATTTTTATTCTTCCCGTGTGAAAAGAAAGATTTTTCTAGGTATAAAACAGAAACATACGGTTTCTAGTGGAGCACAGAGGTGGAAATTTGTGGCGTTTTTCAGGACACATGCATACGTCGCCAAGGTAACTGTATTCGTCTTACCTGACGCCGAAGGCAATTCCCAGAGCGACGATCAGCGGCAGCAACGTCGAGATGCACGCTAGAAAAACGGTCTGTATGTCTGAGAAACCAGCGAGTATACCTGGAAAACGCGAGGGGTGTTACTTTCAAAATTTCATGCTTCGCAGGCTATAGAATAATAAATTCGTACGGTGACTAAATTGAATGGGTAGCGAGAATAATGAACTGGATAGCGAGCCCACCACTCTGAAATTCCACTCAGGTCATTGCCACGGCCACGTAGTTGGCCACCAAACAAAATACACGAACTATACAAACGAATATAATGAATAAACATATGTATCCTCGCGGCGTGCGACTCGCTCGCATGCTCTCCCGATTACCACGAAGCACCCTTTAAGGAGATAACACGATGAAATTCGTTTAAATTTATCCAAGTAATTCCGACCTATTTCAGCATCTCGCTTAACCCCGTTTCTTGTCATCTGCCACAAAAAAATCAACATAATGTTTCAAGCAGTAACCTCAATCTTCCAGCCTACAACCCAACCGAACCTACAACTTTCATCCTATCTCGACGATGTGTTCGGAAGGAACTAAATTAGCAACGCCCTTAATTTTATCGATCACCAAAATTATGATAAACGTGTAGATTTAACGTTCGAAACTAAAATGAGCGAGTGTTTGGCGGAGAGGAAGGCGTTGGAGGAGGAGCAATGGATTAATTGTCATTTCCTGAAGCTGGTGTCCCTATACAGAAAATCGATCTGTCTGTGGAAGAAGGACACGCAACATTATCTCGACATCAAGCGCAGGCATCGCGCTTACAGCCAGATCTGCGAGGCAATGGCGTTGCCGGGGTTGACTCTGATTAGGATCATCTTGAAAATTCGGGAAATGCGACGGTTGTACGTCGCCGAACTGAAAAAGCTGCTGGAGGCCGAGTCGAGCGGCGTTTGCCACGACATCTCGTTACCCTGGTTCTACGATCTGCATCGATTCCTCTACCCGTACCTGGACTACGACGAGGCGATCGAATTACACGTTCGTATCGATAAATTCGTTACGCCATTAGCATCGACGGTGCTCGACGGTTTCCCCCCAATAACCTTTCTGTAGCTTCTCGTTACGCGATTCCCTCGTCGTTGCAATTTATGAAACGATTTTGGCTCTCCGATTACAACGGTGGTGCCTCCGCTCTCGAACGAGGTCCAATACCGAAACTGGCTGGAGTTACGAACGTTTTTATAGCGGGTTTGGTCTAGAGGGGGGTAAGTAGACTCCCGATGGTAGCTCATAATCGTAACCGTATCCCAGCCGCGCGGCAAGGAGACAAGAGAATTTTTTAAGTTAACGTACGACCACCGAAACGACGATATACGAGCACTTTTGGCCCGGAGCCCTGTGCATAAAAGTGCACAGCGTAAACGCCGACCGTGCATATTTAAAAATAGATTTCCTATTCCGTGCAATTTCCGCGCTATTATCCTGCCCCTTCCCCTCTTGTGAAATTTACGGTTCGCCGTTAAATCCGATTTTCCCGTGGCCCTGTAGAACATCGACCAAGGAATCGTCGATTCGAAGGAAACGGACGAGGATCCATGTCGAGAACCTTCCAATTGCTACTATTCCGACTGCCCCGTGTCGAAGATGAACATCGTAGACCACTACGATAGAGGTTTGTTGCCCTTTGGACGAGCCTTCGGCAGCCAGAATTCGATCAGCTCCCTAGCGGTTTCGTTGCCGGAGGTGAAAACTCACCCTCGAACATGCTCGACGAACGAGTTGGACAGATTTTCTTCCATCAGCGTCGGTCTCACTGTCAGCGATAGTACCAATTCCTGCCACGAAAAGCTGAAACGCCATGGGGTCGTCTCCACCCCCGGCGAATTAACAGGGACACGACAGGTCGATCAAAGATTCAAACGGTGCATTAACCCTTTCTGGCGGGACTTAATTTGCTACAGAGATTGGTTTCACGAGCCCATCGGAAATACAGAGAACCAATTACCTCATCCCCCGAGATTATCCACGAAACGAAAGGGTTAATTGCACCGAGCTTATAAATATCTAAAACCACGCGTTTGAAATTCATTCGTGTAACAGGAGAAGTGCCGCGAATTTAGAATCTGTGGATTACCCGGCACACGATCGAGTACCAATTCCTGCGAGACCGAATCCGATCACATTGAATCCTTCTCGATGAGCGTTGCTCGTTGCTTGAGGAAGCTCGGCAGACCGTTCGCAATCAAGGCAAAGATGGATATTCTGAAACTGCTGTCGAACGTTATGGTCGAGTCGAAGAGCAAAACTGTTCGAAAAACTGTCAGATGGCATCGGTCAAAGTGATCGATCTACTTGGTATTTCCAGCTTCGAGCGACTAACCAGTCGTCCGTTAAGAAAAGATGGAGATCCAGGTGAAGAAGGTGAGCTAAATACATTCACGGGACGTTCGATTAAAAATACTCGCGATTTTCCAGATCTGGTTGCCAACATAGCAAACTATTCTGAAACTATGCCGAACGGTTACGTTTAAAAAAAAAAAAGAAACCGGTGCTCGATCGCCCGAACACCTTTTCCCATCTCTCCTTCATTCCATGCATGATAGATCGCGCTCATAAATATTGCAAAAAAGCCGGCGATGCGAGTGGCTCGCGAAGAGCATGAATATCTAACGACAAAAAGCTTCAATCGGGGGGTGGGACTGAATTTCGTCGTATATCACGGTTGTAGCGCGCGGATGGTATCGATCCGACTTTGGTACACCGCAGCGTTACGATTAGTATTCCGTCGGTGTCGCAGTCGACCGGTCGAACAAGGACGAAGATGGGAAGATTTTGTTCGGTCGAGACGAGAAGGGGGATGTGCGCTCAGCGCAGCAGCCCTGGCTCCTGATAGCGGGTTATCGTCCGATCGAAACGTATCCCGTAAAAAGTCCACGTACCGAAACGTTATTAGCGGCGTGAGTTAAACGCGATCGAGGGGAATCGCGTTAATTCCTAACTCTGTTTACTGCTGCTCGATAAAGTAGCTTCGATGAATTTACGCCTGTATAAAAAAATTGTAGATTCCATTGAGAATAAGAAATAAAGAACAAAAAAGAGAACAGTCCTCGTATAAGTTAAAAATCAATACTCCTGGTCGAGTGCCGGAGAAACAACGGACGACCAACTTCCGAACATTTTAATCCTTCAATTTCCAGCGAGATCCATAGAAGAATTGTCGACGAACGTGGCATCCGGAAGGGTATTTTTCCAATGGGGGACACAAGTCGAGAAACGATCCAGTAATAAATTTAGAGGAACTGGAAAGGATTAAGCGATGCTAGGGGCGGTTTTGCGCGTTACCGTGGAAAGGAAAACTAAAGAAAATCTGGAAATCCGTGGATAGCATGGGTCAGCAGATCGTGAGAGAGTACGAGGGGATGAACGGACAACATTTAGACCGATTCCGAAAATCCTCTTGACACTCGACGAAATGGGGTGCCCTCGAGTGCTTCGCTGAAAGAGGTTCGACCTTCGGAACGGGACCGGTAAATAAGTGCCAACTTGGAAACGGATATCCGGGGGGCCGTGGGCATATTCCGCATGAAAAATCGATGCGAGGAAAATAAACGCCGCTGTTGGAAAAATTGAACAGCTCGGCTAATTCAATCGAATCGTGGGGTTCGCCACCGACGACGCACAAACTGTGGGACTGTTTTCGAGCGGACTCGTTGAATCATCTCGCCCGACAGTGATCGTGTTTTATTCCGTGGCAGTCGTATAATTCCAAACGCAATTTTCAATCGATGGTATATCAAAGGGACTTTCCCACTCGTCGGTGACTGAAAAGGATGGCACTAACGAAAGGAACGAAAAGAGGGGCCTGGGGAAGCTTTGGAGTATAAGTAGGCTAGAGATACAGCCGAGGATGATTGGGCGAGTGGCGTTTCAGGGACTAGGAAGGCACTAATGCAGTCCCATTAAGGCCGGCTTTGACCGGTATAACGCGCATTAACCGTATTCACAGGCTCTTATTACTTACTGTGATCGAGTTCGTCGTGTTCCGCGAGGTAGCCAGTCGCGTTGTAGATGTGATGGTCGGGTTTAGCGGTGCTGGTTACCGTTGCGGTTCCAATCGTTACTATCGTGGACGGATTAGTCGGAATCGCTGTGCCAGCGCTGATCGCGGCTGCGACCGCGCTGGGCGGCGACAGGGACGATGATATCGTTGATACGAAATTCATCGTACCGGTCGAACTCTCGACCTTGGTCACGTTCAGCTCGCTCGTCATCGTCCTCCTAGCTTCGCATATCACCCCCTAGGAAGATTCGTGACCGGTGTAACCGCAACACGCCGTACTATTCCGGACCTATCGGACGGTGAACGCTCAGGCTCAGACGCATCGATCTCTGGGCCGGTTTGCGGCTAGGTGAGAGAGACACGTACCACCGGCCCCGTCCGATTCGCAATTACTATTCAATTTAGATTTACTCCGCACTGATTAGACACCGGTTCGCCCCGGAACAACCTCCTGGTACAGGGATCCAGACAGCCTCGAGCACAAAGTCGACGGACCTGAAATCGAGTTCGTTGGGATCGGGACGCGGAACCGGCGCGCTGGTGCCTCGCATCTCTTCCGAAAGCTGATCCCTGAAACCGGAACACGCGAACAGGAAGGGTAATTTGCTTCGAGCGAATGGCCACTCAAGGCAGTCCCCTCAAAGACGGTCGGTTAATTGGATTCACGGGCATCCTATCGGCCAATTAATAACGACCATTCGCGGTTCTCTCTGTCTCTCGAGTTCACACCGACGCGCGACGGATTGACTTTTGGCCCGTAAACTCCTGGTATAACGCGCGTGTCCTTCGATGAACTTTGAACGGAATTTACTGGAGTACACGAGGATACGTCTTTGGACTGTTTCTGTAATCGTGCTCCGAAGAGACGGAACACGGATCAGCTAGGGGCGAGCAGTTATCGGAACCAGTTCCGAGCAGAACGAACCGAGGAGGCTTCGTAACTTCTGACCGGGACCTCGTCGGTGATTTTTCACCCCCGCCACCGGGTGTCGCGAGCGGATTACAGCGAAACGAAAAAGTTCCAGCAACAGGGGATGAGAATCTTGTTTTCCCTTATCCGTCGTCTTCTGGGCCGTCTCTCGTCGCGCGACCACCGCGCAACGGGTCTTCCGATTCAATTTAACCAGCGTAGAAAACGATCTTGCTGGTGTTCGTTAGCGGGGAACCGAGTGTCGCTCATTCCCACTGCTCTCCTCCCGGGAGAACCGCTTCTGCAACAGAAAAAGGAAGCTCGTGTCTCTCTGCATTGCCCGTGTAATTTCATTTCCTGTTGGGGAATACATCGACCGCCCCGTAAGATTACTTTCGTCGCAGTTAAGGGGACAAACGTTAACGGGCGTATTCGGAGGCATCGCGCGACGGATTGCGCACGGTTTACGGTCCATGAGTTCTTCGTCGCAGCGATTTCCGCGGTTATTACCGCCTTTAAGTACGCAATGCTCCAGAGAAATCTTTTTCAAGGTCATTCAGCGTTGGTTCATCATCCTTGACGCGCCTCCACCTCGCTCAATGTTCCTCCATTCCTGATTCACAATTCTTCAGAGACACCGTTTCCTACCTATTCTCCTTAATCTCACGCGTTGCTGTCTGCGATCCAAATATCCACCACAATTTTCTGCGACAAGAAACACGCACGCGTCGTCCCTGTGTCCCTTCGTTTCTCTCCAAAGACGACCGTAAATTCTAGAGTACCCTGAACATTTCGTCTCTGTCCAGTTCCACCCGCCCCAAATATATCTTTTCAACCTTTGTCCGTCCTTCAATATCTGAATCTACTTGGGTAACAATCTAAACGCGCGCAAGCATCACGGATATAGTAGCGATCGATGTCAGATAGATTTCGTCGATTTCCATGAACCATCCGTCTCCCGTGAAGGTGACACTGATTAGCAATTGATCTAGCTCGAATTCGTAGCAGCCACGAATGGGCAATATCGGGGAATAGACCGTCCCGTGCTTCCAGGAACGGTCTACCCACGCGACTCTGTTCGATAATTAAACTTGCTCGATAGTTGCCGCGGCATTGTTCGGTTAACAGTTTTCCGGGCACGGGTTAATTATTCATAAGCGCAACTTGCTAACGAACGTATGCACGCGTGCCGCGGGGCAAGCTTCGAATTTGCTCGCCACTGGCTGTCTCAGTATGACCTACAAATTTCCCATTCTCTAGTAACGTTCGTTTTCCTTCTGTCCCTTGTCTCGGATAATCTGTTCGTGAATTTCACAAACAGCGTACTCGTTTACCTTTGCATAGGGTACAAGAAGATATTTTGGATGCGTGAGAAGAATTCATCTGTACTGGAAAGAGAATCTAAATGTACAGTAAAAGGTTTGGACGGATTAACGAACGTTTAAAATTCGAGTAAAAATATTCCTGGTGACACGTGATTCCGTTGGGCCTTTAATATCGATAATTAGTACTCTGTGGGACGGGCTGAGTCGCTGTTAACACGAACCATCGGTAGTTCGAACACGAGTTTGCATTAATTGGCACAGCGCATTGAAATTGCAACTGCACTGCGGTTGCTTGGAGGACACTCCCGCAAGAACCGAGCTCCGTCGTCGTCGTCGTCGTCGACGCAGGATGCATCCACTCTCGGGCCGCACCTGACGTTGTATAATGAACCCGAACGAGACTCGACAGTAACGTAACAAGCGACGCCGGCGAAATTATTAATCGGATTGAAAAGCGATTCTGCGACTTTCGAGGAGGTTGCGTCGAGGGAGGAGCTTCTTTTGTGACAAGCGTTTTATACGTTTGGAACCCGTTGGTTTCCCTACCGGTTAATTTATTAAACTTCTGTCGCGGAAGTTCGCCGATTCAACGGGAACAAGGGAGTAACGGTGATTACGTGGCACCACCCCGTTCTCCTTTTCCGACCCCTCTTTTATCGGCCTCCCTCATTTACTCGCCGCGCGGAAATTCCCGAGAGTGTCCAACGAGCGTGACGTTTCCTACCTGGAAGTTATTCCCCGGACAAAGCGTATTCCCGTGGCCTTTCGTATCGAATAACGATCATCCGCGCCCGTGTGTTACTCCTAACGAGACGGAGCTATCCCGAACTAGAGCCCCTTCATGCTCGGTTCAAGGCTTAATAAATTTCAGAACAAAATGCTTGGTATTGGGTGAACGCAGAGAAACAAAGATTCCGGGAGTTCTCTCACCTACCCCGTAATCAAACGGTACGCGCCTCTCGCCTGGAGCTCGTCGCAATCAGCGGCAGAATCGCGGAACCGCTGGAACGTGGGTGCTCGTGAGCCGAGATTTTAATGAAAATTTACATTCTCGCCGCCTTACTATGCTCCCGTGATATCCTTCAGAAGGTACACCACCGGTATGTACACATTGTGTATCCGAGTATCGGCTTAACACGGCGCTTGTTCCGTATGTAGGCAGCCGCGCCCCCTGACGTTCGCTTAGACGTAAGCGGATGAAAAGTCGGGTTACCGAAGCCGATTCTTTCGAGCATCGGGGGCTTCGGTGTTATGGTTTTAGCGTGTCTTACGTAACGGGGGCCGGTCTGGGCAAAGATCACGGGCGTCCGATTTGCATAATCGAACCCGGCTGAGTTCGGGTCTTTCGAGCTACTAACCGCCGTCCCGTGCGCGCACATCGGCTAAAACGCAAATTGCGGCATCTGCGGCGTTAATAAGAAACTTTCTCGACATTAATAATTCCGTTAGGTTCGTTAAACCGGCGCCGCCATCGTGGCAACGCCTTACGCGGCTGTTCGTTTTAACGGCCCGGTCAAAAATGGCTATCGGGCCCCCACATAGCCCCCGAGGCGCAACAGCCAACTTTCGAAGGCACCACCCGGGGTCGATGACTCTTCGCTATTAGTTAATTGAACGGTTAATTAATTTATCCGTTGCCGGTCGTGTTCCTGTCCACCGTTGCGTCGAATAAATTTCGCGAATGCGCCCCGATGGAAAGATCGCGGGAACGTTTTTGACTTTGATCCTCGATACAGGTAGCCAGTGGCTCAGAGCGATGTATAATTAACTTTTACCGGCCTACCATTTTCGCTTCCCTCTCTCTCCCTTTGCTTTTAACAGACACGGAATACCACTGACCCTGATTAATTTTTTTTTTTTCGTTCGATACGAATCCACTGATTTCGTTCGCGCAAAATTCGGCAAAAATTCGCTCCCGTTATTAAACGATATGGTACATGCACGAGAAAACATTGCTGTATCGCAACGGTCGCGGCAGATTTATCGAACAACAAGCGTCATTAATTAATCCATGGATTTCTGATCGATCGCTGAATGTAGAATGCGCACGGGCTGAGTGTGAAATAATGAATGACCAATTCAATTACGCGACCTTTTTGAGTTTAATAGCGCTAATTACAAACTCAACGGACTCATTGTGTGCTCGCCCTTGTAGGTACAACGCGAATTATGCTGTCGCGCTTGCAACAAAAGCCATAGGTATCTCCGTATATTACGAGTAACGTTTGTTATTTAATGCGAACGCGTTTGTAACGATCGCTTGAAATCAGTATGGAATTGTTCATCTCGGCGTATTCCTCATTTTTGCCCAACAATTCTACCTTTTACTAAAATATAGACGAAATATTTATCTTTGAGAGAATGGATCACAGTTTATCCTTCTTTCGCCGGTTGATAAATCACCGAAGCAACTTTACTAGTTCAAAGCTGACACACTTTAACTGTAACATTAAATTTGAAAAGGCACTGACCATATCTACTAGCTGAATGGCGCTCACCGACTGTTATCAACCGAGAAAAATTCCAACGACGAAGAGGAATGCGGGTCCTGACGGATTCAGAGAGTCAACGGTCAACAAAGGGTTCGTCATCTAGCTCTACGGGTATTACCTTCGGTTCGTAGCAACCTCTGTTCCACATTCCGTTCGAATAAATGACGCGGAAACCTTGAAAGCGACGCTTGCCCGTTCGCCTCGAAAACGCGGTCGAAGATGAAGGCAATTTACGTCCAACTAATTTGCGGGTTCTCACGGCTAACAGACCCTATTTACGTAATAATTCGCCGATCGGCGTCGCACGAACCGGTCACACGAAGGGAGGGAGAACAATGACCGACGAGCAGGCGAGCACGTCTATCCCGATAAACCGTCTTCAATCGCAATTACAATTCCCACCGTTATCGTGTGTTCGCGTCAGTTCATGTATCCATTGTGCGATTCATCGATGCAAAACCATTTGGTGTCGCGGCACTAAGCTCACACCTGGCAC